AATCTTTCAAAAGTCAAACAAGTCACAAAACTCATACAATCATTGCGTATATAATTGTAGAAAAATTAAATTTATGCTAATCATTCAAGATTTGAAAACGTGCTTTGAATGTTAAAATTAAATAAAATAAAAAATTATAGGATTACGATACAAAGTTCATCGTAATCCTAACACTAAAAATAGTTAACCACACGTTGGAATTAAAAAAAAAAAAAAAAATATTGACATAATGTGAATAATTCCCAAATTCCTTTTACAATTATTGATGAATTCTTGCACAAAAATTTGGAATGATTTTTCTTTGTTGCTGCGCGTCCGTCCGTTCTCCTTTCTGCGCGTTTTTTTCCCTCCTAATCTGCCACCTGCTTTTTAATCGACCAAAAAAGGAGTCCAATTCCTTGGTCTATTCGCAATTTGATTCTCATTGTATATCTATATCTATAATAATAATATAATAACATAAATAAAAGAGTGAGTTGGAGTGGCACCATCCATAAGCCGTGAGTCGAGCTAAACTGAGCTGAGCCAATCTAATCTAATCTCTAATCTAATCTAATAACATAACATAAATAAAAGAGCAAGTTGGGGTGTCACTATTCATAAGCCGTGAGCTGCCATTTGGCTCGGCTCGGCTAACTTTTTTTTTTATTATTATTTACATTTGATTCAGTATTTTAAGTTATAAATATTCGTTTAAGTGATTTAAAATTTGTTGAAAATGTTAAAGTGAGCCCATGATAAATATATGATCGATAAATTTTAAATATTAAAATAATTTTACATTAATTGTGAAACGTAAAGTCGTGATCGTTTATATTTCTTTTCAATCTGAACCTCATTCTAATGTCATTTTTTCGAATTTTATTTTTTTACAATATTTCGTTTGATTCGATATTTCACGATATGAATATCCATTTGGATCGATTTCAAATTTTTTTAAAAAAACTTAAAATGTGATAATAATAAATATATTGCCTATTAAGTTAAAATATAAAAATGGCTTTACGGCTCGGTTCAGATCGGCTAAGCCTTTTTTTTTTTTTTTTTTTAGGTTTTTTT